TCTTGCCAACTTGATTTCTGCCCATTTTTTAATTGTTTGGGCACATAGAACAGATCAGCAAATAGAACAGAGTAAAACAGAATGTAAGGGATAGTATTGGAAGTGGGGTGGGGAAGAGAGTAAGGGACCATTTGTTGCTCCCCTTGAATAATCTCCAAAAGGAGTACAATATAAATTGTAAGCATTTACAGTGATAGAATACAGACATTGAGAGAAGTATGAAAACAAAACTGGGATACATAAAAGATAACTATTTTTTACATGATTTCCCACTTCTCTATCAACCAATAGCTTTATTCTTTTCTCCATCCCTGTCTTCCTGATAACACATCCTTATTCTATTTCTATTAGATTTCTATAACATTTTAATATTTTATTATATTGTATTTCATATTATAAAAATTGACTAGGTTTCTGATTAGACTTTTTTTGTAATGAACAGTGGTATCAAAATTTTATTTTATTTTATTTTTAAATTTTTAATAGTGAGACATCATGAGGTACAGTTGCAGACTTACACACTTTTGTGCTTGGGTTTCAATTATACAAGATCAAATACACATCCCTCCACCAGTGCCCATTTCCCACCACCACGGATCTCAGTATCTCTCCCACACCCCATCCCCCCATCCCACCCTGCCTCTGTGGCAGGGCATTCCCTTTTGTCCTCTCTCTCTTATTGGGTGTTGTGGTTTGCAAAAGAGGCAATGGGTGAAAATCATGTTTGGTCTATAGTCTACTTTCAGCATGCTTCTCCCAAACTGGGAGAATCCTCCCAACATCTTTATTTGGTGTTCCCTTCTCTATCTGAGCTCCCTTTCCCCCTAGCATGTGTAGTCGGCCTCCAAGCCATGGAGTAAAATTCCTGGTACTAATCTCGGCCATTCTTGGGTGTTAATCTCCAATTTTCTTTATGTTCCCCAGATGAATGTAATCTTTCTATGTCTATCCCTTTCTTTCTGAGTCATTTCGCTTAACATGATATTTTCTATGTAGTACCACTTGTATGTAAATTTCATGACTTTGTCTTTTCTAACAGCTACATAGTACTCCATTGTGTAAATGTACCAAAGTTTCTTTAACCAGTCATCTGTTCTTGGGCACTCAGGTTTTTTCCAGATTCTGGCTATTGTGAAGAGTGCTGCAATGAACAAACAAGTGCAGAAGTCACTTCGACTATACTTTTTTGCCTCTCTGGGATATATTCCCAGGAGTGGTATTGCTGGGTCAAATGGGAGCTCAATTTCTAATTTTTTGAGAATCGTCCATACTGTTTTCCAAAAGGGCTGAACCAGTCGGCATTCCCACCAACAGTGAAGGAGTGTCCCTTTCTCGCCACATCTGCGCCAGCACTGGTTGCTTTTGTTTATTAGACTTTTTTTGAATGATCTTTTGGAATACGCTTCTTACAGTATGACTCCTAGGATTCTGAATAGACAAATATTTATCGTAATGTTTTAGTCCACTTCCTATTATATAAAGTTTTAGTTAGAATTCTCTAGGATTGTTACTACTCAGTGGAGCGCATTGGACCTTGGATACAGGCAAAAAAATTAGACAGGAAATTGATTAATGTTGTGTGTGTGTGCATGGGCAAGCAAAGCATACACTTTGCCACTGGGTCACATCTCTAGTCCTTGATGAACAACATAAGGGTGGAAAACTAGAACTTTATCCTCAACATGGGCAGAGGATCAAGGTCCTATATCGGTATAAGTATGGGAAAGCATTGGGGCCAGAGAGATAGTACAGTGGATAGGGCACTTGCCTTCCACATTGCTGACCCAGGTTTAATCCCCAGCACTCCATATGGTCCCCTGAGCTTGGCAGAAGTGATCTTATGATCCTTGAACAAAGAGCCAGTATAGACCCTGAGCATCACTAGGTATGAGCTTCCCTCCAGCTTAAAAAAAAAAAAAGGATGGGGAGGTAGGGAAGCAGGGTCTACCAAAAATACAGGTCAAGTATTTACGTCCTGAGGGACAAGAAAATTGGGCTCAGATAAAAGAAATCCATTATAGCTATTTTATGGGAGGAGTCAATTCCTGTAAATGACAGTTGAGATAAATGGTGTATAATGGTTCTAGGTATGCTTAAATGTAAAAGTGAATGCATGCAGAAAAAAAATCCCAGGATTTTCTGGATGTATTATTGCATTTTTAATGTTAGTACTTTTTAAAAAATCCACTTGTATTCTTTGATCATAGTGGCTTTGATGTGAATTTTACTCTAGTAAAACAACGGGTCTCAGATAGTTTTTTTCCCCCTAAAATGCCTCAATAATTACATTCTTCTTACAATTGCAAATTTTGAATCACTTACACCTTCATGTATTTTAGAAAAAAATAGGTCCTATACCTTTCTTCAAAGTTTATCTCTAAGAACTTTGTTTTTGGCATTTGGTTGCACATGCCAGCAATGCTGGTTAGGATAAGAACCTTTCAAAGTAAATTCAAGTAACTCTTCTGCCAAAGTATTTTGTATTGACTCACATATGAGCTGATGACCAGTGATACCAAGTGCATTTTTTTGGTTTGACACTACATAAAGGGTTGGAGGAGAGGGAGAGATAAAAAGAGAAGATAGAAGGCAATGTTACCTACAATTCAAGTATATTAGATTTTTTTCTCAGCTAGTTCAGATTATTGAGGTGTTATCTGAAACTAAAAATTTATTTTTTATTCAGTTTCTGCAGCTTTTACTAATAGTTACATCAATGCATTCGCAAAATTTTCAAAAATGATTAGCTCTCTGAACTCTGATATCCATATTTGTAAGATTTAAATATGACCTGTAATTAACATTCTTTTTTTTAAAAAAGTTTATGAAATTTTTTCTTTGTTCATTAAAAATACTGAAGGATTACTTGAATATGATTTAAATACACCTATTCTCACTCTGAGAGAAAATACAAGTAGCTCCTTAAATAGTACAAAAAAAACCTGATAGTTCACTCACTAAACACCAGAACTGTGTAATTTCTATAAGTGAGCCTGGCTAATCTCATAAGAAAAAAGGTCAGCTGAATTAGAAGTCCTCCACTGATGAGAAATTAATCTAAGTGGTTTGACTGGTGTCAATGACAATATTTTGGAAGAAGAAATTAAGGGTTCTAATAACCATGACTAATGGGAAATTTAGAGAAAAACAAGCTAAAAAAACCCTTATGGAGCTGTATTATTGATATATTTCTAATAAAATAAAAAATAGTATTTCATGATTTTAAAATCTTTTCAAGAGTGATTTGGGTGCAATTTTCTCATAGATTGAGAATTTTATTAAACCTTAATGGAAAGTATCAATAATTGCAGAAATAAACTAATGGGCTAATAGCAGAAATCTAGGACATTAAATAATACAAAGTATATCACAAATGACATAGACTATTGAGATGCAATTGTTAAATGAATCAGTTGATGAACGGGCAGGTTATTGCAGCTTTAACTAAACCGGAGTCTATCGCCCATCTATAGTGTGGTAGCAATCCGCTCTTAAAAGCAATGTTGCAAAAGTAAAATACGATTGTATATTAAAATTTCCAACTGATTTTAAAACGTGGATCTTCTGATTCCCTTCCTCGCTCAAACTCACAAGGCTCTTGAGTTTTATGTTATCTCTCAAAAATGTATTAAAGTATGACCAAGGCGTATTTTAGTAGGTTCTTTCTTCCCCACCGTTAGAAGCAGAGCAATCATAGTACAGCTTTAATTCCACCCCGCATCGGATGCTCTATAAGAGAAATCCCTAGAAACGCAGCGCCTTTTGGGTGCCCTGTCGTCCCTGTTTACGAGGATCTGTTTTGGTTAATGCTAGTGAGTGGGTCGAAGGTTGGTATCTCGGGCCAGGATGAAGGTGGGAGTGGCTCCGTGCCTTTTCCCTGACACTCTGCTTAGTCCTTTCTTTAAGCTCCAGACCGGTGCCCTAGAGGCCAAAGATGCTCTGGTCCAGCCTTCACTGTGGGTCCGGAATCTAGAAGACTCTAGCCCAGGAATCTCACAATTCGAAGGCGCAGACGTCCTGTAGCATCTCTAACGAGGGCGGGACTGACAGATCGGCTGTTTCCAGACAAGTTCTGGCCCGTCCTGGTCCCACTTGTTTTCAATCCGCAGCCGGAATTTAGGTGGATTGGTGCCCCCCACCCCCACCCCGGGCCTTTTGTCTCAAGCAGAAGAGCACCCAAGTTATCTCAACCAACAGTTCCACGTTTTAAATTCACTTCTTAAACACATACAACTTTATTTCGGGAAAGGAAGGCTGGGAAGCTCTCAGATTATTGGAGAGGTCTCCTTCAAGAAGGATTGTCTCATCATTTTAAATTTAAAAAGATGAGCGATATCTCAAGGGATAAACTGAGGCAGCCTAGAACACTCCGGAGTCGGGGTCTGGAGGTGCCTGTTCGCTGCTTGGCTGTGGATGAGATTTCGGGGAGGACACAAGGAAGGGGTGGAGGGGTCCACGCATCCCGGCGGCTCTATTCCTTCTCCCGGTCCCAAGCCTGGCCACGGAGCAACGTCTTGTTTTTCCTCCAGAAACCCGGAGAGCCTTGCAGGAACCAGGTGGAAAAAAAACAAACAAACAAAAAAAAAAACCCAGCGCATCCCGGCTGCGGCGTCCCGGCGGCGCCGGGGGGGGGGGGGGGGGGGGGGGGCGGGGCTCGGGTGTTCCTTCCGGGTTGGGGGCGGAAGTGGCGGATTTGAATCGTGCGGACCGTTGGATGGGTCCGCTCGAGGGTGGCGTGCGGCGCAAAGCGAGCAGGGCTGGGATACACGGCCTGGCCGGCACCGCGAGCCCCGCGCGACTTGGTAAGCCGCTGGGGAACGGAAAGAAACCAAGGGATTCCGGGGAGTGGGAGATCAAGGCGCGACCTTCGGAGGAGACCCGGTGTCAGGAGCCTCTCCGAGGGCTTTTTTTTGGGGGGGGTGGGGTGGGGGGGCTAGGTGTCGGGGCTCTGGGGAGCGTCTCCCACGCCTGCGGCCCGGACAGTGGGCGCAGATAAGCTGGTTCGGAGCGGGGACGAGCAGGAACCCGAATGCCAGGTCCTGGAACTCGTTAGGCATCGCACTTTAAGTCCTGGGAGCCGGTTTCGGCCTCCGCGCGAGGCAGTTCGGTGGGACCCTCGTCGTGCCAGGTGAGAGAAGCTGCGTCTATTAAAGAGGGGAGTGGGAGGGGGACAGCTTCTAAACGGGTTGGTACGCGTCGCGGGGGGGGGGCGCAGGTTCCTCCCCCCCCCCCCCCGCACACACCCCCCCCCCCCCCGGGCGCTGGGGGAGGCTGTGCGGAGCCGCGGGTCTGGGATCCGGGTGACAGTCCGGGCATTTAAACTGAAACCCGAGCACCTTTTGTATTCATTGCCTGGGTCCTGCTCTCGTGCCTTGCACGGGTTGACCTTGTTCCCGGAGCGCAAACACCCGGAGACGCCTTTGCACGGGCTGTGATCGGTAATTCTTAGGCTGGCGTTAGTGTGCGAACAATGGGGCTGTGGTTTTTTTAGTGGGTCCCACGGACCTGCCTTTTCACCCGCTCCTTTCACCGGCCGCCCAGGGGAATTGCGGAGTCGTTTTGCAAAGTTACTCTCGGATGTTTCCAGTCTCGGTTTTCTTTGTTCGTGGGCTTTGATGGTGTGCTGCTTTTTTTTTTTGGGGGGGGGGGGGGTGTGCGTGCGCAGAGTTGCTTTATTTTTGATAATGAACTACATCAGATATAAAAGTCTAACCGTGTAGCATCGTCAGATTTGGGGGATTACTTTAAAAATGAGCCTTAAATAGAAATTGCAAATGGGTCAGAATTCAGGGGTGTAGAAAACTTTTTATCTTGCTGTATGAAAAACAGAACTTGGTGTGGTTTCGTGCGAACAGGTATTTTGAGTTCTTTTTAATATTTTAATTCCAGAGAGAATATATTTTTTGGAGAGAGCACTTTTTAAATTTGGATTTAATAATAATTCAGGTACTTCTTCATCCAGTCCTGGCATCTCTGGATGACGACTCATCCTGGCTAATGAGCTTTATGTTTAATTTTTAGCCAGGAAAAAAGATTTAAATTCAGTATTTCTGATCCTTGAGAGAAATTGAAGCCTTTTTTTTTTGTAAGCTGCAGCAGACCTTTTAGCTATGCCTTTCTAAGGATTGCAGACAGCCTCTCTGCTTATTTCATGTATGCTTCACAAACGAAAGCTGATTTTTCAGAATTAAGTGTTTGCCCTGTAATCTTTTTCTCTTTCCCTATTTGGACTCTTTCATTTAGTTTTTGTCCCACTTTATCAAATTACTGAGTTTCAAGTGTCTGTACTTAAAATCACGTAGCGGTTGAGGAATCCATAAATTTAACTCCAGGCAATAACATTTGGTCATCATTCCAAAAACTTAATACCTTTGAGGAAGACTTTATGGTATATTGCATATGTGCATGGAATTGTGGCTGGATTGCCTGGGTTTGGATTCCATCTCCATCACTTTGGTAACTAACTTTAGGCAAACTCTTTAACATTTCTGTGCTTCAATCCCTTCAACTGAATCAGGAGATACTTGTAGGATATTGCGAGAATTAAATGAGTAACATTTGAAAATCTTGGAATAGTGTGTTGCATAGCTCCTATTTAGTAAGCTTTGTATAAACGACATTGTATGTAACTATATTATGACTTCCTAATAATATTTCAATGTGCTATTTTCAGATAAGAAAACAGACTAAGGGGTTTGGTTATTTGTTCTTATTCAACTACAGTGTTTGAACATGGGTCAAGAAACTCGATAAACTCAATTTAATTTAGAATATTTATGCCTTTAAAAAAAGACTTAATAAGTAAGCTTGCCTCTGCAGTCTCTCCTTCCAAATGCTGCCCTATACAAATCTATGACTTCCCATTACTTGCTTACCTAGTCAAATTTTAGTATTGTCTCTCTTTCTGTCTCTCTCTCTCCCTCCCCTTACCCCTTCTCTCTTTATGAAGTCCTTTGCAACCTAGTTCCAAACATCATCATATGCTGACTTGTTTCTTAACCTGTGACTTTCTAGGTATACTGTAATTTTTCAGCTCTATTTTCCATTACTTGTGCTTATGCTTAGCCATGTAACTTAAAAAGTTTCCTTTGACTTCTTTGCCTATTGGGTTTTAAGTACCTTCCTAAGGACTTCCCCCAGCTGTGTTGGTTCCTCTGTGCAATTTGGTTGTAAATACAGCACTAAACTGAGCTCTCTTGTGCTGTCTTTATCTGCAATTCCTGGTGGAGAACAGTGAGTGCCTTCATGCTCTGAAACTATAGAAAGATTCAAGGAGTGTTTATTTCAACAATGCAAAACATTGTGGCTTGTTAACGTGAAAACAAAAAAAGTTTTTAAAAGTTTTTGCTTTTATCCCTGCTGAGATGATAGGATTTAAATATAAATATATGTGGCTTAGATTTTATGATACTATATGGTTTGTGAATTTGCCACATAGGGGGAACTAGTGAGATCCTTGTTTCAGAAGTCGTTTCGAGTGGGAAAAATTAAGTTATATTTACTAACGAAAATCTTAAAACGCTTTTCATATATTTAAGTAGATATATGCTTATGTGTATTTTCTCAATAGCTTCAAATCCAGCTAAAGAAACTGAGGCACTTAAAGATACAGTAACAAAATGATGGGGGGAGGGTGGGGCTGTAGAGAGTGAGTCCGTGGGGTGCTTGCTTGCCTTACATGTCTTATCTGGGGAAGTTGTTCATTGGGCAGTAGTTTCAGTGTTCACTTTTTTTTTTCTTTCTGGGTCACATCCGGTGATGCACAGGGTTAATCTTGGTTCTGCACTCAGGAATTACCCCTGGCGGTGCTCAGGGACCATATGGGATGCTGGGAATCGAACCTGGGCGGCCGTGTGCAAGGCAAACGCCCTACCTGCTGTGCTATTGCTCCAGCCCCGGTGTTCACTATAATTTAAAGGTTTTTATAATAGAGAATCAGCTTCATTTAAGTATTAGTGTTTTATATTTTATTTTAAGTTAAAGGACTATGGAGGAGAGGAAAAAAGAACCAGAAGGGGCCAGGGATCTGGCTCAAACTGCAGGTCCCTGGGGCTAATCCCACTTTTAACACCACTTTGCAGCCCCCCCCCATTCCTCACAACCAGAGGAATCCTGGTTGCCCCCCTAAGCACAGCCTGGAGGGGAGCAGAGAGAGCTTTCCCTGGAATATTGATAGTATATATTATACTATATAGAATAATATTATAGAATAATAATAGAGAATATTGGTCCCTGAGCACTTTAGTGTGTGACTTCTGCAACAACTGACAAAAAATGTTTGCATTCCTTTTCTATTACCTGACCAGCTTATCCATAACCTTCTCTTTAAAATTTTGCCCATTGTGTAGGGATGTTACTAAAAGGACCAGCAAGTGGGGGCTTGGCCTCAAGGGAATACAATCTTAATATGCTCCCAGCACATTCATTTTACTGGTCCAGATTAGTGCAGGTCTTTGAATTTGAGCTTGAGTCCATTATGTATCCTTGAATTTTGGAATTGCAATGCCAAATTGAAAAGATTTGTATATGAAGAAACAAATGATTGGCATTGGGGCCTGAGCAATAGTACAGCAGGCAGGGTTCTTTCCTTGGAAAGCTGCCAACCCGGTTCAATCCTGTTTTCTCAGCACCGAACCAGTAGTAAGCCCTGAATACAGCAGGATGTGCCCCCCCCCCAAAAAAAAAGTTCATAGGTGTCCCAGTAGGTAGGGGATGAGGATGGTCTCTTTCCTGAGGACTACTTAAAAACTCAGTTGATATTAAGCTTATAGGTTTTCTTGGGGGAAGGACCAGGGGGTGAGTGGTGATGGTTGGGCCATACATGGTGGTGCTCAGGGATCATTCTTGGCAGGCTCTGGGTACCATATGGGGTGCTGGGGATGGAACTCAGGTCCTCAGCATCTCTCATTCCTGCCCCCCCCCCTTTTTTTGTGATACTATGCCAGGTTTCATGAGTACAATGTTCAAGCACTACACCCTCCACCAGGGTGCACATTCAGTCGGAGGCCACCATTATTTTAGGGTCCTCTCTCTGCCCCCATTGCATTGACATGTATAAGACTGTATTGTTTTTCCTTTATTTAAAATTAACACTGTTTTAGAACAATTTTAACTTGACAATAAAATTGATGGCTGACTTTCCAAGTACCTACTGCACCCTCCACAGGTGTGTTTAATTAGTTGAACCTACAATCACACATAGTAGTCACTCAAAATCCGTAGATTGATTAATTTTGGTTTTGGGACTACATCTGTGCTCAGGGATCATTTCTGGTGGACTCCAGAGATCTTATGTGGTGCCAGGGATTGAACCCTGGTCGGCCACATATAAGGCATATGCCCTACCACTGTACTATCACTCCAGCCCCTAACAAAATCTATAGTTTACGTTGCGGTCTGGCACTGCACACTACTCTCAAGTATCACCAGTTGTAGCCCTGGAGATACCCTCTTCCCCCAGCATTACTGAATTTGAGCAGCACCCTATCACTAAAACCTAGCATTGAACTATCCAGCTGAGGGTATCGCTGAGAGTGGTCTCAAGACCCAGACCTGCTTGAGCACTGCTTGGGAGACCCCCCTCCAAATAATGAGTGTGTTGGGTTGGTGAATTGGTGAGGGAACAGGTGTTGTAACATTTATGACTGAAATTCAGTCATGAACAATTTTGTAACAGTGTATCTTGCTGTTATTCAATTTAAAAAATAAATAATGAGTAAGTTTATTTTTGGCTCTCATTCTTAGGTGTTTAATGTCTTAAGTGTTTAATTTCTACATGTTTTAGTTATTTGTTTTGGTTCGATTTTTTTTTTAATTTGTCACTGTGTTCTGAAAGTGGACTTGTATGCTCTCCACTTTTAAATTTCCTCTTTTAAATATGTTAAGGTCTATCTTATCACCTGAAATGTGCTCTTTTAGGGAATATATCAAATAAACCTGAGAAATATGTATATTCTTTTGTTGGAGAAAGTAAGGTAAAGGTAAAGGTAAAGGCCTCCTGTTGATCGTCGATTTGCTTGAGCGGGCCCAGTAACGTCTCCATTGGAGACTTTGTTGTTACTGTGTCTGGCATATCGAATACTCTCGGTAGCTTGCCGGGTTCTCCTAGAGGGGCGGAGGAATCGAACT